AGAATTCCCCAGCCAGCATGCTGGCTGGGGAATTCTGGGAGTTGAAGTCCACACATTTTAACGTTGTCAAGGTTGGGAAACACGGCTCTACTCTCTAGAGAAGTCTGTAACAGGTGGAAAGAAAGAGAAGAAGAGGATAACCAACAGGGGCACCATTGGAAGACCTGAAGAACCAGGTTAAGGACAGATCTTCATGAAGAAAATCCATCTATGTGATTACTAAGAGTTGACAATGACTTGATGGTACATCATCGATCGATTGATCGACCGATCGATCCATTTTCCTTCTCAAAGCTTATTTTGTCCTCTGTTAGCTTCTTGGATCCAACAAGTGGGGTTTAAAAGGACCTCTCGTGACCAGCAAGGGGCAGAACGAAAAATGGAAGCGGATTCTCCCCCCTGCAGAACAAAGTCTCTTCCGCCTCCTTGACCGGATTCTCAGCAAACCTAAAACGATGCTTTATGTAAAATGGGGATGGAGGGGGGGAGACATGAGCTCCTTTGGACAGCCTTCTGCTCGCTTCATCTTTTGATCCCGGTTGGTCTTTATCTGCTGTTCGCATTGTAGGCCACCCATTTCATAAATCAAGTTAATTCAGTGAAAGGCCCCACTTGGGGAAGGAGGAGAAAGTGGATTGAAATGCCATCTACTGATAACAGACAAATCCATCTTAGGGATTGGGGGGGGGGGAATAAAGCCTTTTCCTGCCTCCCCAAAACAGACCATTTTGCACCCAAACCAAGGGAGTCCACCTGTTTTTATTAAGATTGCCTCAAACCCAGATGGATGGATATATTCCAGTGAAGATGGGAGAGGAATCCGCTTCCGTAGAGAATAGCCCCCCTCTTCCAGGAGGCAACACAGACACGCGTGTGCTGTTCCCTTGGCACACGCACACGACTGCACCTCCGGCCAGCACCACGGACAGCCCTCTTGCCAGTGCAGACACTTTCCCCAGAATTCCTTCGGACAGGATTCAAAGCGGGGGACGCCGGAGCCCAAACGGCATCCCCTTGGGCAAGTTAGGACTTCTGGCCGCGGGGCAAAACACCGCACACACCCGAGGCCCCCGGGCACGCAAACCCTGATCCGAGCTGGCTAGGATGGACACGGCGCTCTGCAAAATCTACAGCCAAAATCAGCCAAGCGAGCAACAGGAAGCATGGCGGGGGGTTCTTTCTGCCGGGGGCCGAGAGGTGACTTCGGAAGGTCGATGGCTCCTTCGGTCCGAACAACCCCGATTAGATTTCACCGCTGTGTCCTGCAGAACCGGCCAGCACGCCAGGCGGTGGAGGGGCTGGCCTGGCAGAAAAGCAGAGAAGGAAAAGTGTCACGGGGGCGGCTATCTAGAAATACGATCAGTCGTAGGAATACGCGCCCCCCCAATTGCATTATCTGCACGGAACTGGAATCTTAGCTTAAGTTGGGGCATCTCGTGATGGGTAAGGCGACAATATCTCGGGTGCAAAACTGGAGAGGACCACTAGGGGGAGCCAGCTTTTAGGGGACTTGCTGCGGCCCTCTGGTGGCCATCTGCACGATTGCAGCCTAGGGATTGTTCCTTCTGATGGCTGTAGAAGAGTGTTTCTCAACCTTGGCAACTTTAAGAAGTGTGGACTTCAACTCCCAGAATGGCTGGCTGGGGAATTCTGGGAATTGAAGTCCGCACTTCTTAAAGTTGCCAAGGTTGAGAAACACTGCTTTAGAAGTTAGTTAGGCACTTGGGGCTGCTCTCATCTGTTCAGCCCCTTAGGTTTATTTTTTAAATATTTGTGCCCACTTCTCAGGGTTCTAAACTGGGCTGAGCCGGGCTTTGCCAGTCTGCCAATTTCCCCCAGACTCCCTTGGGAACCAGATCTGGTCACCCCGTTTCCATCTGCAGGCTCACCTGGATGGCAACATCTGGACCTCGGGGTCACAGCTGGGCCCGGCCCCCAGCTGAGGCCGGGGCGGATCCGAAGGCAGTGGCTTCTGGGGAGGGGGAGGCTTCGGGGGGGCAGGAGACTATGGAAGAAGGAACCAAAGTTGCGTGAGCAGAAGGCAGTGAATTGAGGCAGAGCCCCCCCCTCCCAAAATGAGTCCCTGGGTTCTTCTCACCACTTTTCCAATGGCTTTGCCCTCTGCAAATGGGGTCCCTCTCCGACCCGGTGTACGTTCCCCTCCACGGGGAAAGGGCGACACAATTACCTGAGTTTTAGCAATAGGGTCAGGAGGCAACGGGCGTATAGGCGGGGCTGGCCGGTCCCCAACGGAGGCCTGGTTAGAAAAAAGTTCAGACAGCGAAGTGCACACATGCAGGGCTGAAGAGGGTTATTTTTCCAGAGAGGGGAGGTCCTGGAAGATGAGGAATGGTCAGTCCCCGAGGAGACTCATCCGCCCTCTTAGCGAGGGTCCAGATTTGGAAGAAAAAAAGCAACCCATTTGGTCGCTGGGCCAGTGAACATGACATGAAAGCTTCCTTGGGGGATCTTGGGGAAGGACACAGCACGAGCCGAGTGGACGCCTTGGCTGCGAGGATCCCGCGCTGTGCCCGCTATCTCCAGTCCTCGCAGATCCGGAGCAGGGGAGACCAGCAAGGGCTGGGTGCAACGTGAAGGAAACGGGCCACTGTTGGGGGTCTCCTGCCTCGTCCCCCCATGCAAAACCATGCAAAGTACATGCCGCGGCCTCAAGGAATGTACGAAGGACCCCCCCCTTCCCTTTCCCCCTCCTGGCTGAGTTACCTGTTGATCTTTTGGGATCGGATCAGGCGGCAACGGCTTGGAGGGCGGGTCAGGCCGCGCGGCCCCCAGAGCAACGGGCTGCTGCAGTGGGGCGGAAAGGGAAAGGCGGGGGGGACAGGAGGAAGAGAAAGAGAAAGGAGGAATGGACAGGAGCTCGATCGCGGGCTTGTGACATGCTGACCGCCATGCGTGGGGGGCGAACATGCACCATGCAACCCCGGGCAAGAGAAGGCAAAGGTGGAGACAGGGGGGCAATCCGGATTTCAGGGGGAGGCCAGGAATCGTGACCCACACCACCCGGTTCAGTCCTTCCTCTGCTTCCTCTCTGTGGTGGCTCAACCACAGATCGCCTGGGGCGATTCGAAGAAAGGGCAAACTCTGCCCACGCGCAGAGGGCCCTACCGGTCCAGGACTGAGGAGTGGAAAATCGTCATCAGACGAACCCCATCCAACAAGCACATCTGCCTATCCCAGGTCCTTGGGAAGGACTTGATCGGTAGGTAAAAAGGCCAAATCCAGCCTAAACATCTGGATAATGTGCGACCCACCAGTAGAATAATAAGAATAGACTTCTTCATCAACACAGGGCTCTTCTTCTTCTTCCAGCCATTGATCTCGCTCTTTATAAAAAAAACTGCCCCGCTGTCCATGGGAAGCTGTTACCATAAGCTCCCATTAGAGAGTTAATCCTGACTTTCGAGTCCTGCCACCAAATCAGGTTTATTTCATGATGGTTAATGACCAGCAAGGAATTCCTACCTTTCCAAGGCCTGCTTTTGGGGAGAAAGGTGATGCGGCTGAAGAAACAGGACTGGCACAATGCAACCCATTTTTCTGATCATCACTTTGGTGGGTTTGGAATAGGGAGCTGCAAGACTCTTGGCTTGGGGTTCGGGGGGGGTGCCTTTATTTTTTTTTTTAAAAATCAAGTTTCTAGCTCATATGAACACTGAGGGGAAAAGTGAGAAGAGAGGGGGAAGAACTCAGAAGCTGAATCCAGGTTTCTAGAAGTGGGGAAAGACACGTGAGAAATCTTCTCGGGGCTACCAATACTACTTTGAAGGGACCCTAAACCCTTGCTTTATTGCATGTTCTAAGCCACGCCCCCATTGCACAAAGCCCCGCCTCCCTCCAGCATCCTCCCCAATCACCAGCCGTAAATGTTCTTGCCGGTGATTTTCCACCAATAGCAACAGCCCAGGAAAAACATACCCCAGATTTCTAGTTCCAGAGGCCAACACCAAGAGGGGATCCCCCATTTTATCCAGCTGCACCCAGAATTATCCCCCACTGTGCCCCCCCACAACGTTCAACCCCATGGAAATCTACACATCTTTTACCGGGCTGATCTTTTCACTTTGATCTGCAACCTTAGAAATACGATTTGCAACCTTCCAAGGTCTAAACGAGATCCAATATTTCTACGTGGGGCGTTGATCCCTCCCGGCCTCGGTTTCCTTAGGTTTGAGAGAATGCAACCCCTCAAATCAATTTGGGGCACCCAAAACTACAATGGGCCGAGCAAACGGAAAATTCTCTTTTTTGCAAAGGTGTTCCGTGGTTAGTTTTCCAATGGATGCTCTATTGCGTGTTCTAAGCCCCGCCCCCATTGCACGAAGCCCCGCCTCCCTTCAGCATCTTTCCCGACCTGGGAAGGGGGAGACAGAGTTAATCTTTGCTTTGGAGCTTCCCAATTCCCGCTTTGTACAATCTTTCCTTGGATCAGCTCTGTCCCGTTCTGCCGAAGGCCATACTGGTTTCCTGGGATGAGCAGAAGAAAGGGGGGTGCTTTCTCTCAGCCCCCCCCCATTTACCTTAGAAGTTGGCATAAGCTGAAGTTCTGTACTTGGTTTCCACTGTGGGGGACGAGGCCGGTTTGGAGGAGCTTTGCTGTAACTCCGGGGCTCTGGTTGGGTGATCCTGAAGGAATGGGGTTGGGGGAGACAGTGTTAATCTTTGCTCCGGAGCCAGCTTGGATGAAAAACGTCCCCCCGCTTGCAAGATCCAAAACACCAAAACGCCACCATCCACGTGCCACGTGTCCTCTTTCCATTTGGGAACCCCTCCCAGGCGGCCTTGCCAGGCTGGCAAAGCGAGCGACGTTCCAGATCCCCAGAAGAGGCTTTGCTAAGCCAAGGGTTTAAGAGCAGCTTAAGCAACCCTCGAGGAAGTTCCAGCCTGGCCAAATTCAGGAAGAACCACACCGAGAGAGAAAAAGTCAGCCTCGAAGCTCAGCAGAAAAATCTCCGGTCCTTTTAAGAAAGCAGAGCGGTGGGTCCTAGAAGCGCCAATCCGCGCAGGCAAAGAGGCTTGGAGGCCACGGGCTGGAGACCCTCACCCCCAGCCCTGTCGCTGGAAACTGCATTTGCTGCTTGCCACATGGGAGGGCATTTTGTCCTGTTCGGTTTTCCCTGCAGAAGTCTGCAGGAGGTTTAGCGCCAACGTCTAGGACTGAAGAGGTGGGAAGAATGCCAACTATGTGGAATGATCTGGCACCGAGAAGCACGGAGGCACTTGGATGGTCCCCAAACAACATGGCACAAAGGCCCAGCAGCTCCAGAGCGAGGCAGGGGAGATCCCCCTGCAGACATAAAACCCTATTCTTTCCAACTGAAGCGTAGGAAACTATGCACTTGTTCACACTCCCAGCTTTGGGGTCCTCAACAGGCTGCCCGTGGGCACCATTTGCCCACAAAGGTCTCCCTTGGGAGCCAGACGGCTCATCTGAATATTTTTAAAATGGGAAACTGCCATGGGAATATTCTAGCTTATTTCCAAGGGGGCTTTGGGGCTCTCCCTTCTTCTAATTATAAATAACTTCCTCCCCAAAGGGAAAAATTGCTCTTGGAAAACCCTGTCCTTGGAATGGAGCCGCATCGGGGATGAACAAAAACACTTGGCCAGTTGTTGGCTGATGACACTTGGCGTTCCTACATCCAGAAGACCCCCACAGATGTAATGGTCTGGGGGAATGGCCTCGGGAGATGGGAGGGAGAGCCGCAGACTGGACAACTGGTGTGTAAAAGGTGGCTCAGCCCACAGAAGGAAAAGGGACGTGGGAAGCATCTCAGAAGGGCCCCTGCCTAGTTTTCCGGAGAGTAAAAGGAGTGAAACAGGAATTTAAGTGGAGAGTGTAATGGTCTGGGGGAATGGCCTTGGGAGACGGGAGGGAGAGCCACAGACTGGACATCCAGCGTGTAAAAGGTGGCTCAGCCCACAGAAGGAAAAGGGACGTGGGAAGCGTCTCAGAAGGGACCCTCCCTAGTTTTCCACAGAGCAAAAAGATAGGAGGAGAGAAATACTTTCACTCTGCAAGATTCTCTTAATGGAACCTGACAACGAAGACAGAAATAGCATTCATTACTGGTGCTTCTAGCCTGGACTACCTTGCAGGGCTAACCCAGCTTCGCTCTCCAGAGTCAAGTCCCCCAAGCCAGCCCAAATCCGCCACCGTTCAGAGCCAAGCTCAAACCAGCCCCATCCTTGTTTCCCCAGAGGAAGGCCCGAAGGGTGTCACATGCAGAGCGAGGGGTGCGTGTACCCCCAAGCCAATACTCAGTTGTACCTTCCAGCTGGGTGAAGGAATTCCACCCGGGACTCAGGGTCAGCCCTAAAGAGGGAAGGTTGCAAAGTGAATGCACGTACCCAGGGCTCTTTTGGCCCCCCTAACATGTGGCCGCCCAATATTCCCGCCACGCTCTTCTGGAATTAGCCAGCGCTGCTCTGCTTGGGAAAGCGACAGCCCCTTGGGGTGGGAAATCTCCGGAAACGGGAGCGAGGAAGAGGAGGAACTGTCGGGTTACCTGTATTGGCAGCTGGTCCCCTTGCCAAACTGGCAGAGGCGCTTGTACAGCCCGAGCCGTTTGGCACAGCAGAGGCCCGCCACGAGCAAGGCGACCAGAAGCAGAGCGATCAGAACAAGCACCGTCGAGGTGGACCGGCTCGCTGCAAAGAAGAGGACGGCAGAGCGTTATCCTGCGCCAGGGAGAGCCTAGGCCCGGGATGGCGCATGCCAAACCGGGGCCCCTTGGCCAGCTCGCTAACACAAAAGATCCCTTGTTTTCCCACAATCACTGCCTGCGCTGAACGTCCTGGTTTTTGACAAAGCAGCGCTTTCGAGGCATCGACTCCATGGGGCCTGGCCCTTCCGGGTTTACCCCGTGGCTCGTCTGGAAAATACACCTTTCCTAAAGGAATGCAGGTGAAGGGGGAAAAAATGCCAAGGTTTCATTTCTTTTCAGCGCTCCGCTGAAAGTTTCCTTGCTTTCTTTTTTCCTCCCTCCTCCTCTCCTCTTCTTTTCCATTCAGCATTGAAAAGGACGTTGGAGCGCCAAGGTTAAGTCCTAGCCAGGGACGGGCACGGTAAAGCGATAATTCTAAGAGAAAGCTGTGGATTCGGAAGACACGGAGCCAGGCTGATCGCAAATCTCACAGCCTCGTTTGGGGCATTTCCTGATCTCGGTTCGTTTCAGCCTGCTTTGCTTCTTTAAATAGTTGTGGGTCTAGCGGAAAGGCAGTCCCCTGGATTGCAACGTATTCTGCAAACCAGGGAGATGAGTTAATTCTGAATTCTGGTTAAGCATGCCACAATAACACATCCAGTATAATGGTCACAGTTGCCTTTCTAGCTGGGCCTTATATAAATCTTAGGGCATGAAGAAAAAAAAATATATATATAATACATATATAAAATATATAAAAATATAAAAATCCCCTCTCACCCCTATGGGTGGTACGTGTCTTCCTCAATCTTGTTTTCATATATATATATATATATATATATATATACACACAGACACACAGACACACACACAACACACATAGATATATATATTTTCCTCTTCCCTCCCCATCGCCTCTTCCTTCAGTGTGGTGTCTCTTCCAGACCACAACTCTGCGGGCTGTGATTGCCTTCTTTTCCTTAATCCGTTAAGACGTCTTCCCGTCGAAGAAGGGGTTATAAATGAGACACCAGCTGTTTCTTTTGTCAGGTAGACCCGCTAATGACCCAGCATGCCTGCGAAAAGCTTTCCTTAATGGGAAACTAATGGCTAGGGAAATTGCTGGAGAATTGACATGTGGGAACAAGCTGCAAGCCACGGAGAGGCGGAGAGGCGGCTGGAACAAAGGACGGGTGAGCTGATGCGAGGAGGTGCGTGTTACAAGCTGGGTGTGCACCCGTCTGCCATCTGCGGGCATTCATACATGCATTTGCGCAATTGCAACGGATGCCGTGAGGCTATCGCGCTGCACCCTTCCCGCCTTGACTTACCTTCCTCTGGGGCAGGGGGGCCGCTGTCGACACTGCCCCCGAGGCCACCGCTCTGGCAGTCAGGGGGGGCCCAGCCCGGCTGGCAATGGCAATGTCCTTTGCTGTTGCAAATCTGCAGGGCGAAGCGGGAGTCTCAGTTGGCCCCGACGGGACGAGAGGGGGACAGGAGCCCAGAGGGTCTCTTTCAGGGATTTCCCATCCCACGAGCCAGCTTTCTCAGATCGGCCCCTGGGCTGGCTCGGGGCTGGGAAACTAGATGTGGTAGGGACGCTTGTGCGAGGAAGAAGCAGCGAATGCACAGAAGAATTGGGGCCTGGCACACCAACACATGCAACTATGTGGTTTCTGCTATGTATGTTGCATATTAGAAGATCTCCACGCGTGAACTCTGACATGGAAAACAGTCCTTCCCTGATCTTTAACACTTGGGCTCACCTCTATGTTTCCCTACCCAAAGAGGAATTCAAGTCTCCTGTCTGAATTCTCACTTTCAAGCTTCTAGTCCTCAGTTTTCACCCATCCATTCACATTTAAATTGCTCTTTCCCTAACCGATTACTGGTTTACATGGGTGTTTGGATTGAAGCCAAACAAGGCAAATCTCTCATCCTCCCTCCCTCCCTCCCTCCCTCCTTCTTTCTCGCAGGTTTCTAGTCCTCAACACTGCAAAGAAAGTTGCGGGGGGGGGGCAGAGGAGAAGAAAAGCATCCAGTGTTTTATCTTGCATTTCCCTTGGTCTTCTATGGTTGGACAGTTTTTGAAAGAGGGAGATGTAGGGGGGGGGATATCTTTTACTTACCCCACGTCCACCGCATTTGCATTCGGAGAATTTTAACAAGGAGAGATCCTGGCATCGTTTGTCGATGCAAACCTGCCGGCAAAAATACGTGGCGGTTAAGGCAGGGAAGCGTTTGATCCCCCCCCCCCTTTGCAAGAAGTCCATTCAATGCTCACTCACTTTGCTGGACCCACAGTTAGTCCCCGATTGCGCCACGGCCTCATCCAGCACATCGGCAGCAACGGCAACGGTAAGAGCATCACGCAGGCAATTGGGCGTCCTAAACGCCCCATTCCGTTTTTTCTCGCACTGCAGCTGCCCGCACCGGACGTCACTGTTGGAAAGACGTCGAAATCGTTTCTGTTTCTTTTACTTCATGCTCCTAGTCCTCAGTTTTTACTTTAAAAGAGCGCAGGCACGCCCCCCTACACCCCACACGCTCTGAAGCGGGCATTTCCGCCAATGCACGTCCAGTTTTTTAGCTGTAGAGTTTTAACTGCGATTTCTTTCCATGTAGTAAAGCAGTGTTGTCCATGGCCACTTTAAGATGAGTGGACTTCAACTCCCAGAATTCCCCAGCCAGCCATGTTTTTTTTTGTTTTTTTCAAATTAATTTTCCAAATTGCATTCTAAACCAGCGTTTCTCAGCCTCCGCCCCCCCTTTTTATTGGTGGTTCTTGTTACCTCA